TTCTATTTTAAGTAGAGATTGTGGGGTTATAAGTATGTTAAACGAAAAAACATGGTGAAGGAAGACGAGTTTCTTTTATTGATGGATTTCACGATTTGGTACCCCACACAGACTGATTTCAGATCGAGGAGCACAACTCACCTCTGAAATATTTAAATGCCTGTCAAGACTCTGTGGATTTAAATTACAGCATACTACAGCTTACCACCCACAGTGCAATGGTAAAGTGGAGCGTCTTCATAGAACAATAAAAGTAGCACTGAGAACTCATGATAATTTAGCCTGGAGTGAAACGCTTCCAACTGTTCTTCTAGGATTACGCACTGCGTTACAGGAAGACAAGAACCTCACAATTGCTAAAATGGTTTATGGAAAAAAAAATTGCATCAATAAAATAAACTCGTCTTCCTTCACCATGTTATTTTGTTTAATTTCAAATCAGGAAGAATTCTTTATCTATATATTTACAAGTATGTATATAGGAGAGACTGGTAGAAATGATACATTAGCAATAAAGATAATAGATCCAATATACGTATTTGTTTTATCCTAGAAGGTTGGGAGGTAACCAAGAGTGAGGTGTCGCTTCACTGAGGCAAAACGGACTCCACTAATCTCGTTTATTGACATAAATTGACTGACTGCTGGTAGCTAAAAACTGTCGCTATTTATATACAAAATTCTATGAAAACCATTATGCAAAACAGGATATTTGCATATCCATAATTCAATATGCAAATACACTACAATATATATCAACACATCAGAGATACCGGTCACTCTTTTAACTTATCTAAACCCATCATAAAACCTAAAATGTCAAATTAAAGAAGAAATATTAATAATTATGATACATTTTTATCATCGGTGATATATGATTTAATAAAATGAAAAGAAAGACATCTTCAGAAACCTATTTAATTGTTTTTCTCCAGAAGAATTTTTAAATATCAACTAGTTTTAATAATACCAAGCCGTCATTAATGAATAATTGGTAATATTCAATTTAAATTTTAAAATATTCTTTTAACATCAACCACTTTAAACCATTTAAAAAGAAATATTACCTTAAATAATATGGAACCAACAAGCTACCAGAAGAATTACCATACCCAAAACCTCAAATCAATCTAATTTATCAAGAAGGAAACAAAAAAATTCAGGTAATTTGAAATTCGAAAAAAAAAGAACTGTAATATAGCCATTAAAATAGATAGAAGGAAAAAAAGAGTTGAGAAATTCAATGAGTAAGTTTAAAAAACAACACTACTATTTAAAAGTGGTTCAAATTAAAAGGGTAAACCAATTTCCCTTAAAGGGGGGAGGGACTTATTGTTACCTTAATAGAGAAAGAAAATGGAGCTCTAAGTTTATTAGAGGCAGTCTCCATTATAATGCTGCCTTAGTAAACTAATTAGTGTCGGATCATTCCAAGTCCATTAAGGCTTCACAACCCTCTTTAATTGATATGCATAGGTATCATGGAAATGGAGTCTTCCAGTTACCATTAAGCCAACCAATCCCCATTAAAAAAGAACGGCAATTTAAAATGCTACTAGGAGTCCATTGAACATAAAAAGAAAGTCCACCATAAACATTACTGGGAAGTCCGGTCATGACTACCAAATACAAATCACCGACCAATTGGAAATTACATTAGCCCTGGACTCGACCATTAGTAACAATTCTGTAAAGGGCAGGTGGTATCGTACCAGCTTCCATCTCAACAAATGGTGGAACTAATTGTGTAGACTGCCCATATGGCGTCAGTGTTGGGTTTTTAGCTGCCGATTGCGGCTTCCATCAAGAAACTACTGTCATTAGGATACTGTACTTTTCTCATCACATCCAACTCAGTTGCAACCGCTTCTTCTGCAGTTCGGCTTTATTGCCCCATCAGACATGGCTATTAACTTCTTTTCTTGGTACTTTTTTTGTGGTTTATCCTTAACCTCATGTAAACCTTATTTCCTTTTTTTTTACTAATTTCTTTTATTGAAAAGTAAGTTTTTTTGTGTTTATTTAGTAAATGACTGATTGTCAATTACAGGATGCTGAGTTGAATCTATATTAATAAAATGCAAATTTCATAAGTGTTGTTCACTAAAAACTTTCGTTACAATGCATCAATTTCGACCAAATTTTCAACATTTATGTAAAACGAGATGGAGCAGGTTTTGCTTAACATCAAAATATTTTTCCTAACTTTAACATGCGTAACTTCGCTGTTATCGATTAAATACAAAAAAATCAACAGAGTTAATTTTATTTATATATAAATACAAAAAAAAAATTCAGCAATTCATTCAACTCAATCTAAAAAAATATTCAAAACAAGCAATTTTAAGATAACACCATATGTAAAACAGTCGGCCAAGAAAACAACAACGATATTACATCTTTCTCACATATTCACACACAATCTTGATTAATAATTAAAACTAATCTTTAACATTGTTTATTATACTTCATAATATATAATATTCGTTAGGCAAACTTTCACTCGGATAAAACCCGGGCGAAGCCGGGTACACATCCGCTAGTAATCAATATAAATCAATGAGATTTATTTCGAACTTTTGCCTCTTTTTTTTTTAAATCTCGATTCTAAATTTGTTTAATATAATTGAATATACACATTACTGCTTTAATAACTGAGAAGCAAATTTTGGGTATGCATCACTTTTTTTCAAATTCGAATATTAATTTATGAAACTACATACACACATTTTACTTGTGTTTACCATCTGGGAGAATCCTGTTTGTGACGGATGTCCTCAATATAGGCTTGTTGTTGTTGTTCAAACTACATAATACAAATAATTCCTGAATCTGCATTCAATTTTCTACTAACTTATGAAATGAATAAATAAAATATAAATTTATGAAATACACACTACATACATTTTACTCCTATTTACCTATCTGGGGAGAATACTGTATGTCCTCAATATAGACTTTTTGTTATTTTTTGTTGTTGACTACATACTACAAATAATTCCCGAATCTGCATTCAATTTTCTAATAACCTATAAAATAAATAAGTAAAATATAAATTTATGAAACACACATACTACATACATTTTAGTTCTATTTACCTATCTGGGGAGAATACTGTATGTCCTCAATATAGACTTTTTGTTATTTTTTGTTGTTGACTACATACTACAAATAATTCCCGAATCTGCATTCAATTTTCTACTAACCTATAAAATAAATAAATAAAATATAAATTTATGAAACACACACTACATACATTTTAGTTCTATTTACCTATCTGGGAAAATCTTGTATGTGTCCTCAATATAGACTTTTTGTTATTTTTTGTTGTTGACTACATACTGCAAATAATTTCCGAAACTGCATTTAATTTTATACTAGCTTCAAAGTATACTGCACCTTTTGAAGAAACTTTCAGATTAAAATAATTGTTGGTTTTTTAATTTATATTTTGTGTAATTGATTCAAGATTGCTTTTTTAGAGTAAAAATATTCTATATAAATATTATACATTATTCAGAAAAAAATCACCTAATCGTTCAACGAAAAGTTGCTGATGGCATCTGTCTGAATAAATATATAAAGACATCGTTGAAAAATCAGTGATTAGTTGACATTTAATCTTATAGATGGCGCAAGCCATCAGCAACTTTTAGTTTCACAATCAGGAAATGTCTTTTTCCGTAATTTATTCATCTGATCTCAGTTCATTTTCACTTTTGTACTATTTTTCACATACAATATATCCAGCCTAAATAATCTAAAAATTATATAATATATATGTTATGAATATTTTGTTGTTGTTAGATAAAGGGTTGATAAGACAAAGGATCGATGAGATAAAGGGTTGAAGGTGCAGTCGTGATAAAAAAAAAGATAATTATTTACCGTCAAGTAGCTTTTATTTTCAATTACTTGAGGAAATATTACATATTAGTTATTTTCACATTATATAGAATTTATAAAGTTAATCCTATATTAATGATTTATTAGGATAGATATATTAACTACGCATATTTACAACAAAACTATACAACAAAACTGAAAGTCTTTCTAAAAACGATGATAACAAAAGTAAAATTATCAATGAATAAAATAAAATATATAATTTTTAAAATATAGAAATATTTGAGTTTTTAGATTATATAATATATATATAGTTAAACCTGTCTATAGTGCCCCCTCTAAATAGCACCTCCCTCTCTATAGCGCCAGATTTTAAATACGTAGTACGATGCGATTTACATTAAAAGTGACATGTCTATAGCACCCTTTTTTGGTGAATCCCAAGAAGGGGCGCCATAGATAGGTTTAACTGTATTATAAAAAATAATAAAATACCTCCCTGCTTTTACACTTTGATAAAATTAATAAGGAATCTATTTTTGGTTTCTTTCCACAATTCTTTTATTTCTCGAGATTGTATTTAAATTCGGCGTGTTATAATTGGATAGAAGTAATACTTCTAGGTCTTTGTATTGAAGGGCAATTTAGTCCGAGAAAGCTCGGAAATAAATAATTATAAAAAAGAAACCTAGTTCTAGATTTCTTATTAATTTTATCAAGGTGTAAAAAATCAAAATCTCTTCTTTTTTTATGCAAATTGTATATATCACCAATAAAGCCAACCTACAGACAATCCAGATGGAGGGTCCGGCCACTTGACATACCAGCGACATTCCAAGGGGCAACCACTTGAGAACTGCTAGTTCGCACCCCGGGACGTGAAGTCAATCGGTAATTAGGTGAGACACGAGACGCGTAGCGCTGAACGGATCACACTTGGGCTGTGTTTGTCTCATCTTCCAGTAGCCTTCGTTGACACTTTCAACTTTTGTTATGTGATTGTTCCTTCCTTTTACCACACACACAAACATTCACAATACACCAACTTAAACAACTCATTGATAAATTCGACCAATTTCATAACCTCTTCTCGTAGGATGTTATCAAAGCCACCCCTGCCAAAAAATAAAAATAAAAAATAAAATAAAAAAGATATCCCACTCCAGGAATCGAACCCAGACCTCTTAGGTAAGAGCTAGGTATCCTAGCCAACTAAACCATGCTGGAGTCCAAACACCAACACACAGTTTCAAACCTAGGATAACTCAACACTAAGTACATACAGTAATACGTAATACGATCATGCTACAAAAACATGGAAATCTAAAGAACTACTCACAACTTCCATCGCTGTCTTCAAAATAGCCCTTCTATTATGGAACAAATATCATTTCATAATATTCAACTCAAATAACGTCCACTCCATAGAAACTGACCCTTAACTCTCTACAGTTAATAACTATTTATATTTATTTTTTATTTGGTTTTAAATTTATTTCTGTGAATCTCTATAATATGTATTTAATTAAAAAGACATATATTGGATCAAAATATCATTTATTTTACCAATATTTCAGTTGGCTGAACGCCAACCTTTATCAAGGTATTATAACATATTTAATGTGTGTCAACAACAAACTCAGCGCCATATAACAATTTTAGAGGTATCTGAATAGGTTTTTCTTCTAAACTAGACATGGCTGAAAACAAATTATATACAGATTATTGTCAAATATATGCAAAGATATACAGAAATCATCACAACCTATATGATAATTTTGTTTATTCAGCCTTGGTGTGAACAAATATAAAGTAAATAGACTCCTGATAAATTCCAAGATACGAAATATAAAGATTACAACTTATTTTACAATGCGCGCTTACACAGAGGTCCAAAGATTCGATACACTCATGGACCAAACTTAAGGAAGTTGTACCTTTTAGCATGTATATCGGGATTCAGACAATAACTCTGAAAGATACACTCATGGACAAAACTTAAGAAAGTTGTAACTTCTAGCTTGTATATCGGGATTCAGACAATAACTCTGAATGATACACTCATGGACAAAACTTAAGAAAGTTGTACCTTTTAGCATGTATATCGGGATTCAGACAATAACTCTGAAAGATACACTCATGGACAAAACTTAAGGAGTTTGACCTTTTAGCATGTATATCGGGATTCAGACAATAATACTACAAGATACACTCATGGACGAAACTTAAGGAAGTTGTACCTTTTAGCATGTACGAGGGCCATCCAATAAATAAGTTTCCCTATTTTTTTTACAAATAAACAACATTATTTACAATTATGCAATTATTTTATTTTCATTATACAACTCATCGACTACTTCCCTACATAATCACCATTTCTGTCCAAACATTTTTGGTACCGTTGTAGCAATTTTTTGATACCACTGTTGTACCAAGCCGTGTCCTGTCTTCGTAGCCAGTGGTTCGCCTCCGCCTGCACTTCGTCATCATTCGCAAAGTGCTTGCCTCCAAGGTGCAACTTGAGTGCTGAAAAAAGATGGTAGTCGCTTGGGGCAAGATCCGGAGAATAAGGTGGATGTGTGAAAATTTCCCATTTGAAGTTTTCCAGCAACGTTTGGGTCGTTCGAGCTGCGTGAGGGCGAGCATTGTCATGGACGATTAACACTTTCCGAGACAAAAGTCCAGGACGTTTCCGTTTTATTGCAGCTCTGAGTTTAGTGAGGACTTCGCAGTACATCGCAGCGTTGACTGTAGTGTTTGGGGGCAGGTAGTCAACCAATAAAACACCCTTACAGTCCCAAAAGACGATAGCCTTAACTTTGCCTGCAGAGATTGTGACCTTCGCCTTTTTTTTTTTTTTTGGTGCACTTTCCTCAGGCTTCTTCCACACCATGCTTTGTCGTTTTGTTTCTGGAGTTGATTGATGCACCCAGCTTTCATCTCCAGTGACAATACGGGAAAACAGTTGATCTCCATCTCTTCGATGCATTTCCAGGAAAGCTCGGGCTGCCTCTATCCGTTGTTGCTTGTGATTTTCCGAGAGCAAACGCGGGACCCATCTTGCGCAGACTTTGCGAAAATTCAAAACATCTGACATGATTGTTCCAATCGAAGAGCGTCCAATTTCGATTCCAGGAGGCAGTCGAATCATTATTTCGTCAATGGTGATGCGGCGATCTGTTTCCACCACATTCCGAACAGCAGCAACGGCTGCATTGTCCGTAGCAGTAACGGGCCTGCCGCTTCGCTCGTCATCATGCACGTTTTGCCGTCGTTCCAATAACCATGAACGCCATCGGCAAACCATTTGGATGCTCATACATCCTTCACCATACACTGACACTAAATTGCGATGAATATTGACCGCAGTTTCATTTTTCGCCGTAAAAAACGAATTACAGAACGGAGTTCGCAAGTGGACACGTTCACCAGTGGTAGCTCCATGGAAACTGAAGCGCTACGGACTTGCGCGTACGAGTAGCGTAATTTTGAAGGTCACGCGCTTCCAACACATCCTAATGACCATTTCTTACACTACTAACTAATTTTTACAACGCTTAGTTCGAAGAAAAAAAAGTCGGTTTTACGGGCGAAGATTTTACGTGACAACGGTAGAATATTTATTGATATGAATATAATTAAATTGCACAATAGGAACAAGGAATTATTGCTATCAACAATGTCAGCTATTTCATTGCGGAAAGGCAAGAACAGCAATACCATTTCACGTTGATAATTAACAGTTTCATCTACTTCGTAGCGTCTGTATCGTATTATTCGTCCAATTTTTCGTCTGCGGTGTTCATTTGATGTCGTCCTTCCCACAGTTGTCCTTTCCTCGGTCACCGGTTCTTCAATTTCGTCTTCTTGCACATCTACGTCATCTTCATTGTCGATGAAATCATGAAAATCAGCGTAATACGAAGCAAACTCGGCCAAATATGAAGATTCCAGAGAGGGAGGTCGCTCTTCATATCGCTGAATGATGTTCTTGGTAAATACATCTGTACTGTCTGCTTCGATGTTTTCGCGATCCATTTGTTTCCAACGTTTGCGACAGCGTTGTCTTTCCGATGGCCAAACTGTTGGTATGTACATAATTTGACGGCTCGTTTCGCTCATCGGTTGCCGTAGTAAATACCATGCTGCTTCTTGAGCTGACATTTCAACTGCATTAAGAAGTTTGACACTCAATGCTTTCAATTGGCCCGTGTAGTCCCGGTCAGGATGCTCTTCCATCATCTTAGTCAGCTCACGATTCAAGTTACCCATTCCACGAGCTGATTTGTTCACATATTCCACGACATACTGTGCGCAGCTGTATTCATCCAAGATAAACTGGATATCGATGTTGGATTTGATTTCACCAACGAGGTAAGGGTTGAATGTGTTCGTCATAAGTTGGTCGAAGTTGCGTTTGAACAACATAGATGGCCTGCGCAAAGTTGAACGCACTACGTCAAGATATGCATCGAATGTCAAACTATGCTCCCTAAGAAAGTCGTCCATGCTAGCGTATGTACGTTCGCTGAGACAGTTGCGTAGCTCCTTGGCCTTTTTTCGGAATGCTATGCGGCGTCCATCAATTTGAGGCATTGGGATCAATACACGGGTAGTGAGCATTGGCCAGTACGGGATCCCAAATCTACAAGTCGTTTCGCCTCGCTTCGTGCAGGTGAAAGTGTGCTTGTGGATTTGATTGGCGTAGATGGTATCGTTGGGCACATCTTCTTTGGCGACGGAACTCAGCTTCTCCACGAGCTCGATGGTCTTCGGCATATTTTCTGACACAGTCTCATGTGGATCATCGTGTAACCACAGTAAAATGTGAGCGTGCGGACTTCCTCTATGTTGAAACTCAATGCGAAGGAAATAATCCTCCACGTAGTACTGGCCAGACGGATTGTATGACTGTTTTGATTTCAGCATTTTCATCAATGTACCAACGAGTTTGTGGAAATATATGCAACATGTAATTGGATCGTCACTCACCAAGTTGCACCGCTCTGATGTGTTGAGATCTTCGGCGACTTTGCCAGGATATTTGTTGCTCAACTTGAGCAGTAAATTCAGCAATACTAACCAGCGTCGTTTGCACTAAGAGTGAGAAAGATGGTCGGTTTACCAAGTTGACGGAGCATAGCGAAGAGATCTCGTTTACGAGAGGCCCAGTACTGGACAGAGTTTGGCACCGACTTCATAAAGGCGAGATTCTGCACAACGAATTCTTTGAGAAACTCCGGATCCTCTAACATGCGTCGAGTTACGCTCTCTGTGATCGAAACACTTCGGAATGTGCTGTAAATCCCATCGACCATTCGCAGACGTAGAATCTTCATTGCATCGTATAAGACTTTTTGAGGCGTGGCTCCACGCCTGTCACTCCGTCGTATTTCACTGGTCGCCATCATGTACGGTGTCACTGAAATGTTCATGTTGAAACGGCGGGGCTCTCCGAAGTATATCGCAGGAAATGATAGTTCTTCTGCATGACGGTCATAAATGATGTTAAGAGGCGTTGCTCGATGTCCTGGTGCGATGTCAAGACAATCCTCTTCATTCCACAGTAGTGTGTCCTGTCTCGCAGCAAGAACTTCAGACTCGGGCGTATATTCGGCGGAGATTGCTTCGATCCGATTAGCAGGATCATCTTGAAGGCCTTCATCTGATGGCAATGCAGGCTGCAGTCTTGACAAATCTATTTTGATATCGTACAAACGATATAGACTTGAATTTTGAAGTACTTCTAACCTTTCTTTGACCGTACGCTTAGACATGTACCCGCTGATGTAATTTGTTCTGTGTGCAAGATTCCTTTTGATGTTAACGTTGATAACATCGTCCTCTTCTAGATGGCGAGGCAAGCATTTTACCATGTCTTGTACGTTGACTGGGACGTTTATCACTTGTCCAATAATTCCATAAGAGAAATCATGACGCAGTCGACGCACTTGCATAAATGGAAGGCGCGGTGAGACCAAACGTTCACTGATAGGATCCAGAGGCGGTAGACCTGGAGGTATGTCAGGATATGAGAAGCCGTTGACCTTTGCGAGAGTAGGAAGCTTACGCTTATTCAGTGATTGTCTACAGGTGTTGCAAGACTTTGTATAATCCTCCTTGCGTAGCTGCCGATTTTCCTTAACGTACCAATCCGAGATTACCTTCAGTTGTAGTGCAGTGATGGTTTTAAGGTCATTCTTGAACCACAATCTGTCACAAACCGA